AACATGCACTGTCAAATGTCACTTGTTTTTTAAACACTAAAAAAATTTAATGTTTATTTATTTTTGAGAGAGAGAGTGTGAGCAGGGGAGGGGCAGAGAGAGAGGGAGACAGAATCCATAGCCAGCTCCAGGCTCTAAGCTGTCAGCACAGAGCCTGACGCAGGGCTTGAACCCATGAGCCACGAGATCATGACCTGAGCCAAAGTCAGATTCTTCGCTAACTGAGCCACCCAGGCACCCTTCAAATGTCACTTCTCAGGCAAGCTTCTCAAATATAGCACTTGTTACACAAGAACAAAGGATCTTATTCTTTATCCTGAGGGTTCCTGGTTGTAGCTCCCCTCAGATCATGGTGGTTTTAGAATTTCATGGGTTACAGGTTGGACCGCTGTTCTGGCTCAGTTTGATGGTCGGCTGTTTCTCCAGAGAGGGAGAGCATGGTCCGCGGGGTGCGCCACTGCCTCCGTCCTCCCGTCACTGATCAGTGTGGCCCTGTGAGTCTCTCCTGCTCTCCAGTGCACACCTGCCCTGTGTGCCTCTTAGCCAGGGGCATTGGGGGTGGCAGTGGCTCTGGACATGTCACTCTGTGTCTTTATCTCTCTGCCTGCCCGCGTCCCTGCCAACTTTCTACTTGTCTTGCCCTGTGTGCACACACATCCTGCAGATTTGCACCTTCCCTTCCTTTCTCCTGTCACTCATTCCTGGTGCCACCAGGCCCCAGTGGGGTGCTGCATATTCTCCTCCATTCCCCGCAGTGACAATTGCTTTCTGCCATCCATCAGATGGCATGTCTTTACCTCTCAGCTGTGAGGACCATCCTTCCTGGGGCGACAGGCTCTCTCCTTTAGCTCCATGGCGTTTGTCCTCACATGCACCAGGCTCCTGTCCTCTCTCTTCTTCCTGACATTCTGAGATGCTCCCAGCACGTGGCCTTGCACAGTCAGCACCACCAGCCCCTGGGGAAACCAGAGCGTGGAAGCAGTGGAGGGTGCGGTTAAGGAGGCGAGGACAGAAGCCAGACAGCCTGAGTTTGACTCTTGACCCTGTCATTCAGCAGCTGAGTGATCTGAGACAGCTCACCTCACCCTCTTCCGGGGGTAGTAGAGCACCAGCCTGGTAGGTTACTGTGAGGGTCAAATAGGCCGATGTACATAGAGTACCTAGCATACAGGAGGCACTCAATACATGCTAGCCACTCCTGTCATGATCATGACAACGGTGTTCTGGCTGTCACTTTCACATCTGGGAAGCTCAGTGTTTGCATGCTCTGACATCAGTGTCCCCCTTTCTGTCGCAGTGAAAGTGATATCAAGCAAGTCTGGCTGCAGCTGAAGAAGGACGAGCCTCACTTACTGTCCAACTTCGAGGACTTCCTGACCAGGACCTTCTCTCAGCTCCAGGAAGCTCATGAAGAGAAGAATGAACTGGAGTGCGCCCTGAAAAAGTGAGTACCCAGCCTCAGCCATTCTCTGTTCCTATGTGTGGCAAACAGAAGCAGAAGGTGCGCTTTCTCATATTCCATGAAGCCTCCTTGTCACTGTCTGCCAGAGTGGGGCCCGGGCCCTATGGCGGCCGTGATATATAGATACTGTCAAGCCCTTGCTCACTTTTATCAGGCCCTCAACATATGCTAGGCACTATTCTAAATATGCACACCACCTCATTTGGACCATTCACTGTATTTTTTTCAAGTGCATTTATTTATTTTGAGAGACAGAGAGCATAAGTGACTGGGGGAGGGGTGGAGACTGAGAGAGCGGGGGGGGGGGCAGAGAGACAGGGAGAGAGAGAATTCTAAGCAGGCTCCTCGCTGTCAGCACAGAGCCCCACGCAGGGCTCGATCCCACAAACTGTGACATCATGGCCTGAGCCGAAATCAAGAGTCAGATGCTTAACTGACTGAGCCACCCAGGTGCCCCCTGGACTATTCACTGTTACTCACACTTTATAGATATGGAAATCGAGGTACTGAAAGGTGAATGACAGGCCCCAGGACATACAGCTTGTAAGTGGCAGGGCCAGCATTCAGGGTGAGATAGCCTGGCCCCTGAGACTGCACAGGGAGGGTTCCACAGCCCGGCTCTCCCCCCCCCCCCCCCCCCCCCCCCCCCCCCCCCCCCCCCCCCCCCCAGCTCTAGACCTGCCCTTGGTCCCACTGAGTACCATCCTGACCACTGTCGGGAACATCACACCCTCACGTCTCTCCTGCCATCTCCTGGCCACCAGGGCCTCTGCAGTAACTAGTGGTTTCTAGTGCTCCCCCTTTGCTTGGAGAAAGCATCCCAGCATGAACCTGAAGCCAACCTGAGTCAGCCTTGTGCCACAGCCGTGGGGCCACATAAATGCTCGTCCACCTGTGAGAATGGTGTGCCATTGGGGTACCACACTTGTCCCTACTCATCAAGTGTACGTTACAGCAGTGAGCTCACATTTTGTGAAGCCTGGTGTAACCAAGAATGGTTCCTAATCCTGAAGGTGTGGCCGAAGTACCGGGCTGGGTTTGGGCAGCACTGAAGTGGTCCTCCGGGTGACTGCACATGCTCTTGTCCCTGCCCAAAAATCGCTCCTATGGCATGGGCAGCCTCAACAGTCCTAATGCAGACCACAGGCCCCTCCTTGCAAAGCTCCTGGTGCCCAGCACCACGCCCTGGGGGCAGGGCTTCAGAGTCTATACTGACATGGCCCTGGGGAAAGCACGCAAAGCCCCTGATTTAGAAAGAGACCACCACATGTCTGTGTCTTACTGTGTAGATCAGTTGTCCACACATTGCCCTGAACTCCTTCGCATCTTGTGTCACCCCCAGATCAACTCTAAAAATTACTTGTTGGGGTCCACCGGGTATACACAGGTCTGGAAAAAAGGACCTTTAAGAGCCTGAGTTATGAAAAAATTGTGGCCAAATAATACCGGGGAAAGCACAGTTTGGCTGGAGGAGTGTTATGAATATTCTGGGCAGAGGCCCCAAGGCTCAGAGAAAAGAAGGATTGAGAGTATACTTCTATATAGTTTTTAGCTGATTAAGTTGTGACTCAGGCAGATCTGAGTTTGCATCTTGGCTTTGCTCCTTAATAGCTGTGTGACTCAGGCTAAGTTACTTAACCTCTCTGAGTCTCAGCTTCCTTATGTGTAAGATAGGGATGATAATAAAATACTGGCACATAGTAAGTATTCAAAGGATGTTAAAATAATAATACTTACCATTTTAAATAAGTATGTTTGTCAGTATTAGAGGATTTGCCTGGTTAAAGTGAAGAGTTTGAGCCTGGATATGACCAGTGGTGAGGTTTAAAGATCCCTTTACCCTTCCAGACAACATGGTATACAGCCAGTAGCATTGGCATCACCTAGAACTTTCTTTGGGATGCAGAACCTCAGGTCTCACCCCAACCCTACTGATTCTGCATTGTAACAAGATACCCAGATGCTTTGTGTGTGGGTCTGAGAAGTGGGGAGCTGGGAATCAGGAGCTCTGGATTGAAGTTATGTGTGGCTCTCCAACCAGCTAGCTCTGTGACCTTGCTCAAATCTTTTGGTCTCTCTGAGCTATGGTTTTCTCACCAGTAAAATAAGGGGCTGTTTTAGTTTCTGACTCTCCCTGCAACCCCACTTTCCTCTGACCCCAGCGTTGCTCACCCTGAGGAGCCACAGAAAAAGTCAGGTGGTGCCTCCCAGAGAAGAGGGTGCTCTTTTCTCTAAGGAAGGTGAGAGGAGTCACAGCCTGAATGGGCAGGCAGCGACCCAGCTCATGGCCTGGAATCTTCACTGTAGGATGCTTCTCTGCTGGCCTGCACTCCCACAGGGAGAGGCCAGCGCTCTTGACTTGTTTCAGAGCTGGTTAGCCCTCACATTCATCTTAAACTGACCTCGTTTAGTGCTTTTGCCCTCATTTAATGACAAAGAGTTCTTGAGATGAAAGCCAAGGTCACTCTTGGCTGCATGTGCAAAACTAGCTCAGCCAAAGGTTCCAGTGGATTATCCCTGCCAGGTGCATCTGCCCTGGGTCAGCCGATGGAAGCCCCCTCCTGGCTGGAGAGCTGTGGTAGGATTAGGGGTCCCCGGAGCTCCCTAGCCCACCTCAGGGGTGTTCTCTGGGTGCAGAACCAGAGACCACAGGCTGTAGTGAGCAGAGCACTAAAATCGCTCAGGAAAAACCCAAGCTCTTGCCCAGGCACTGCCACTGACCAGACATGTGACCTTGGGCAGCTTGCTTTATCTCTCTGTGTGTCGGTGTCCTCCCTGGTGACCTGAGAAAATAGGTGTGGTGTTTTTCACACTTTTTGTGATTGTGAGTCACCAGAAGAAATGCATTTGACTTTGCAACTCGCGTACACTTCTGTGTGTGGGTAACTGAACATTTCCTGAAATGGAGCTCATGCTTCCTGCATGTGATGTACTCTGATATTCTCTATTAGAGCCTCTTTTATTCTCTTGTCTTCTGTTAAAGAAACCAGAAAGGTTGATCACATCAGGGCTTCTGGGTTGTGACTGAAGCAGCTGATCTACAGGGGCTCTTGCAGCTCAGCTGTCAAACAAGCAAACAGGAAATCCCGATAATGTATAGACTATTTCAATGGGAGGCTTGACGAATAGCCCAGGGTGAGGTTAAGTGATTCTGAGACATCATCGAGGAGATGAATTTGGAGGTTTGGGGATGTGTGCGGGAGGGGCATGTCCAGGCATCAGTGAGGGGGGAGAATGGAAGCTCTCGGAATGGCCCGATTCAGGCTGGAGTCGGGGGGATCCTGAGGACGGTCTGAACCCCTCCCAGTCTCCTCCGCAACTGGTTTTTCAGTGTGGGGTATAACATGTTGACTCCACAAGGCCAACGAATGCCTGTCCCAGACATGGCTCAAGTCATTGCCACTGTGTGTCCCCTCCCCCCCAGGCTAGGCACCCAGGACACAGGGTGTCCTCGTAGCTCGCCTTAACAAGCACTTACTCTGTGCCAGGCTCTGAGTTAGGCAAATAGAACACAGAGTCCTCATCTTGAGGAGTTTATGATCGCACTGATAAGGTCGAGCTCATGCTCTTAAAAATTCTGCAACAAAGCCAACCAGAGAATTCGTACCATTGAAACGCTAGACAGCGCTGACATAGGCAGCAGAGGCTTTTGCTTCCTCCTCCTTTTCCAAACCACACACCTTGTTTATCCCTCCTGTGGAGCCCAGAGAACATGGGACTGACTGGTGGGGGCGGGGGGAGGGTCCTGTCCCAGCTCCCCAGGCTGAGTCATGTCCCTCAGGGATTCAGTTCTGCTGCAGTGAGTGAACCAGGTCTGCTCTGGCTTCTGGGAGGGAGGGCTGTGCAGCTGGCCTGAGCGCCTAGGGAAAGCTCCTGAGAGCTGGTGTCAGGAGACCAGGGGCCCTCCTTACCTCACTGCCCTGGATTGTTTTTACAATCTGTATATTGGGAATAGGGGGAAAAGGCAAGTCTGGGAGCACTCAGTCTCTCACCCCTTGTCCCTTGGAGTGGAGCTTGAGTCAGATCTTTGATACAATGTTCGACTCTGTTGCGTGTTCACTGGGAAGAAGCCACGGCCCATGGGGCAAGGTGGGGACATGGTCAAATGCACAAACCTGGGGCCAAAGCCCAGTTCTCCTGTTGAACTTCAGAACCTACAGGAGCCTCCACATCTCTCTTAGGAAGTGGAGGCCAGACGAATGGAGCCACGCTCCTTGGTCCACTGCGCAGAAGTTCAGAGAACTTCACATTTAGCGTGATTAATATGGCTTAGGCTTTGGAAGAACTTCTGACTATCAGAATTATGAAGTGCTTTGCCATGGAAAACATCTTCCCAATCACCTTTTCCTGGGCGGCTGGGGGGGGGGGGGGGGGGGGGGGGGGTGAAGCTTCAGCTTTCCAGGGGATGGAGAGTGATACTGTCTAGAGGCAACAATAGATTCAGGCCTTTTGCCAGAATCACTAGTGGAAGTTAGGGCCCCACCCAGGAAAGTCTGATTTATTTGGGCTGGGTTGGGGGCTCAATGTCTGCATTTAAAAAGTATCCTTAGGAATTCTGACTTTTGACCAGGGTTGGAATCTGCTGGATGCATGGACTTGATTGGCCCCTTACCAGGATCTAATCCTGAGGCTGAGGGTAAGGATGAATTAGGTGGTGTCTGGAGAGTGCTTTGAACTCTTGGAAGAAAAGTGCTTTCTAGATCAAAGGCAGGTCGTGGCTGTGCTCTGCTTACTCAGTTGTCTGCAGCTCAGTAGCCTGGAAGGCCACCCAGGCTGCCTATTTCACATCACTGGTGGACCACACTTAGCTTTGACAAACTTGTCAGCACCCACCAGGGCCACATTGGAATCAGTTCCTCATCTGTACATTCTTTCTCATCCAACTGAGTCAGGCCTCATGCAGCTTCTTGAGGGCATGGGGGCCCTTAAGTTGCATCCCCTGCCCAGCCATTCTCTAGGCACTTTCTGTCCAGAGTGATTTC